TTGATTCTTGCATATACATGCTCTTGTCGTGTTTTTTTTTCTTATTGTTCCTTAATTTATCAGAGGAATGTGAGCAAGAACTGGCATATCCCTGCAACTTTTCCCAGCGAGTCAGTTGTAAATGCATATATTTCTCCACAAGTTGACAATTCAATGGAGCCTTTTTCCTGGGGAAGACCAGATTTAGGCCTACTACGCAAGTAAGTTGAGAACTATTTTTCTGCGAGGCATTGAACTTGCAAGCAGTATACGTCGTATTCATGAGAGCTATGCTTCTAGATTTCTGTGAGCATACCAATTTATTCTTTCCTTTTCGAGAATGATAATAATTTATTTTATTTTAATATTACATATGTAGTATATCATTATCCATTTGCCAGATTGGACTATATTGCCTAGTGTAGGTTGCATATGTAAGAAGGTAAGCTGGACTGGATTGTGTGTGTCACTCAAAAGAAAATTTTAAGTACCTGCACTGTAGAGCATTTAGGAATCAAAGTTGATATGTAAACCATTGCTTTTTCGTATTTCTGTTTTGATATTGATTCATGACTGTTATCTTCTTTACGAGAACCCTTAAGAAAAAGAATGATCATACTGAAGAACATTGATCTGTTATGAAAGCTTTTTTTATCTATTCTTCTGCGTCTTTGGTACAGCATCAGAACTAAAGAAAAAATTCCTTCAGGTTATGTTGGGAAAGGTTTGGATGGGGCAAAGAGAAAGGTGACGAACTGCTTCTTCCTGTTTTGAGAGAGTATAATAAACACGAGGTTTGTCTAGTTAGGTTTCAATAATTATTTACTGCATTCTAGGCTACTTCTGTTTTGTATGTAATGTTCTGCATGATGCTGGTTTAGTTTACCTACTTTTGTAGTTTGTCTTTTTTTCCTCAGAAAGATGATGAATGTTTTTAGAGGATATTTGGTTTGAGGAACCACCCCATCCTAGATGTGGTGGTGTATTGTGAGTTTATCCCATGAATTTTGGTGGAACTGCCCCATTCCTAATGCTTGTACTAATTTTTAGCTTGTGAGGGATGAGGTGATAGAGAATCAACCCATTCTATTCCACAAACCAAACAAATAATTCAGGAGTGAGAAGATGATGGATCACCCCATTCCTCAAATGAAACACACTCTTAGAGAACAAACTATACATATATGCCAACGTCTCACCTAATCTTGTGTAAATTTTTGGATCTGCATCCAGTGGCTCAATCATATCATAACCATTTGCAATGTCAATAAAAAATCCAAATACATCATTACAATTTTTTTGTCCTATTGCATCATTATGGAAATGATTCTCTGCCTTTTTGTAAGTGTAAATGTGTAGTCTTCTTGTTGGGTTTCATTTAGCCAAGAATATTTAAATGGAAATGAGGTGATACTCAAAATGTGTAGTATTTCAAATCCTCGCATTTAATTTAAATTGATTTACTTATATGCAGACTCAGCTGCGCATGGAGGCATTTTATTCATTCAACGAGAGATTTGCAAAAATTCGTAGCAAAAGGATTAAGAAAGCCATCAAGGGCATTACAGGGAAAAGCTTTCTTGACACAGATGAACCTAAGCAGGATAATCCCAGTACTAGCAAGACGATCAAGAAGAAAGAGGCAAGCTCCTCGAGCCATGCCAGAGGTAGAGGAAAAAGGGAAAACAATTCTGGGATCAGGAATATGGAAAGTCAAAAAGATAATGTAATTGGCGATACCAACAGTTTGGCAGATACAGTTGAGATTACTAGAGAAAATAACAATACCACTAAGAGAAAACGAGGGAGCCCCTGTGGTCGTTCCAAGGGAAGAGGACGAAGCAGGACAAATGCTGGAAATGATGCAACAATAAGTCAGGAGGATTGTGAAATAGAATATTCTACTTCAGCTTCAGATGAGGATTCATGTAAAAGGCATTCCAACAGTTACGGATCAGAAGGAAGGGCATTGCGAAGGGTGAGCTTCTCTTACTGTATTGTGCCTTTACTTTCATATGGTGCTTATGTTTCTAAGGCATTGGCAAAATTTGTAGTCCGGCCTAGAAATGGCTAGCTAGAACATGGTAATTAGTGAACATGTTTACTATTACTTGAAATCACAAATTTACGGTATTTTGAGAGTGAGAGTTGTGTGATATGAAAAGCCATATATGCATCGCCAGATTAAAAAAACTTTTCATTTGCTATCTGGTGCTGTTTTTGCAGTCAAATAGGAAGCGGAAACAGGTGACATACATGGAAGATGGTCATGAAGCATATGACAATGATGTTACAATGCATCAAAACGATGAAAATAACCCAGGCCAAGCTGCTGCAGTCGCAGACATGGCTGGAGAAGACAGAGGATTTAACCTTTACCATCAGGATACAAGTGAACTAAACAGCAGTCGGATGCATACAGGTGCAGGCACTACCGAAGATATCAATGAAGATTCCCAGGACTTTGAGTTACGTGAGGACAATCAAGTGGATTCGGCACTGAAAGACTATCTGTTCAGTGGTGGTGGTTTTTGTATGGAGGAGGGCGAGGGCGACGAACAAGAACCAGCAGGTGATCAATCTGGTGCAGAAATAGAACCTGGACCAAGTGGTCCATGTGACGCTATGGATGGAGTTTCAGAGAGTGGCAAGAGTGCGAGCATGTCGACGGCTGGAGAGTGTACAGAGCATGCAAGCATGGAGGCCCGTGGTGCATCTTCGTCGCAGCAGAGACGCAAGGCAAGCCGAGGTTTGAGTGCCATGCCGACGCTTACCAAGCGTAGGAGAAAATCGTGACTTGTTTGCAGTTGCATTGCATGTATAGCACGCCGTTATGGCCTCTGTTTGGTTCAAGCGCTTATGATTCACATTTCGATCTTTGGCCACACGGTAGATCTCAGACTCAGATTCACGCGCTGTTTTGTGTAGACCAGTCATGAGCGCTGTTTTGCGGACGCAAAATCCACTTCTGAGATTTTGTTCCGTCTTTTTTAGATCAAAGGTCCAGCTCGGTTTTATTAGAAAGCTTATATAAGTTTGAAGCCCCAATCCTGCACTGGAGTTACCAGTTTACAAGGAAGCACTAAAATTCAACAACGCAAACAAACTAAACTCAGTTTACGCTTGACCGCGGCAACCCCTCAGCACCCCACAAAAGAACTGAACCCAACTAGAACCCAGAAGTTCAGGTCTTCCTTGGCCACACTCAATGTCCAAAAGAACTATCAACACATCTAACGCTACTTAGGCTTTGTTTGTAGGGCTCATCCTCAATGGGTCCTTTAGGGGAGTCGGAGCCCTTTTGGAGAGGCTATAATTTTGCTCTTCTAAAATGGCTCCGGCTCCCTTTATTTTTCAATAAAAAACGGCTTCTTCTATTAAATTGTTTGATAGGCGGAGAGGGGCCTTACCAAACGTGCATTTAGAAGCCCTCCTACGCTTGCAACAGCTCTTGATTCAGCTCGTCGATGATCCCATTCGCCATTGCTATGGATTTTGGCTCAAGAAGTGGTCTCCAGGATTTAAGCAACATGAGGCTCTGTTTGGAACGCGGGAACTTTTTTATGTTCCTATGTTTTCCTGTGAAAATGAACAGATTCCTGTGTTCTAAACATGCCCTGATCGACTTGTGGATCACTGCCACCGGAGAAGCTAGTACTTTGTTGTTGAAGACCACGATCTTTCTTATTTTCTAAAGCGTCCATAAGGCCCCTACACAAACAAACAACATTAAGCTCCTCATCCCATTCCTTGTTTGATTCAGCACCTCATCAAACAACATTTGCACACTTAGGGGTGATCTCAACCAATCAAAAGAGACACGGAAAAGTTCAGAGGTAGGATGCTATGTGATCAGTTGTTTCTAACACAACTTGCATTTAACAGAGCCAGACCAGTTCCTCTTCTTCAGACTAAAAAGATGACTATCATTTCTGAGCAGGTTAAATTTTGACACAACATGAACAGATTTATCTCCTAGAATAACAACTGAATAAAAATCAAACTAAAAAGATGACTATCATTTCTGAGCAGAATTGAAAAACGATGGAAAACTAGTACAGTAGTCTACTTTTTTTTAAGGGGAAAAGAAATTTTTATTGACCTTCATAGGAAGTACAAACGCCATTAGCTGGAGATACAAACCAAATATGTCTCCCTAAACCAGCATAGATACAACTCCTAGCATCCACATTTGATTGTCTCCCTTCAAGAACAAACTCAACAAATCTAAACTCACTTGATCTAGCTCTAATTTCCTGGACAACATGCCCATAAGAGCCCATACTTCCTTTATGAATACTTGCGACGACTCCGGCGTTGTCACGTGCCAATCTGAAGTCCTGCATGAGCAAACAGCTAGCAAGAGCCAGGCCCTCCTTTCATGCTATCGCCTCCATTGTTTCCGGCTCCAAGCTGCCTTCCATCACCACTGCCGAGGCCCCCAGTGAAATCTCGGGCAACAGCTGCAGCGGCGACACTTCCTGAGCTCTTGGCCAAGGCAGCATCAACGTTGATCTACTGGCCAAGTACTGTAGTCTACTAGTACATACTCCTAGATAACAGCACGGCGAATCACGCCGAAACCAATGCACGGCACAGGAAAGGGCCCGCCTCGAAGGCGTCCATTGACTCGAGTCTGGCCTGGCCCAGACCAGTCAACTGGTCCTCCCTAGGGCCCGTCTCCAAGGCGTCCATTGACTCGAGTCTGGCCCGGCCCAGCCCAGTCAACCGGTCCTCCCCGCGCTTCTCTCCCCAGCGGCCAGCTCCCCTCGTCGATCGTTTCCACCAAATCCACCGGTCTGCCGGCCCCGTCTTCCGCTCCGACGACCCGGAGGTCTGTCCAGTCGATAGCCGCCTCAAGCACCAATTCGTCCCTCCGCCGAAGGTACGCCGTCCGGTCCCAAGGGCAGCCCCAGCTCGCTGAGGCGGATCGGTAGCAAAACCGATACTGGTACGTTGCCGTGGAGGCAGTTTGATTTGGTGGACCTAACGGCCTTGCCGATCTCTTGGGAACCAGAGCGATGGCGCGCGGCGCTCGCTTGCTCCTTGTTCTCGCGCTGCTCGCCGCGCTACTCGCCGTCGTCCTCCAGCTCTACCGCCTCAGGAAACCGGTCTATCCTCTGTTCCTCGCTACCTTGATGCTTCTCGAAGTTTATGAGCTAGATCTCGCTTATTTTATCTAGTCGGCGGAAGCAGACATGGCGTTAGCAATTAGAGACACCCAGTCGTCGCTTAGGAGTGTTCATCGACTAATAGCTTGATGTGTTAATATGGAGCAAATACATATCGTGTCACATTTCGCAACTTACATGAGTGAGCTCCCGGTGATTTGATGTGATGCCTTGTGAACAGTAAAATGGACTAGCAGCGGTTCGTCTGATTTGCGGCTCTAGCATCTGACTAATATTGTGCCATTTTTCGACCTCTGAAACTGCAAGTTCCCAATACCGGAACACCTCTGTGTTCTCTCGTGCTTACCTTAAGGACCTGGCACGGCTTCTCTTGAGTCTCATCCGGGAGAGTTGCGATGCGCAGAAGTTGTGGACTCCTCCAAAAGGAACTATCGCTGTACAACTGAAAACGGAACAAATGAGGGGTCCTGCCCATACTAAGTCTCATGTTGCGATCGATTTTTGTGGGTGGAGGAACTATCGCTGTACAATGGAACAAATGAGGGGTTGCCCATACTACTCGCGATTTTGGGGTACTTAAGCTTTTCCTTGCCCCCATATGCCTACATTTCCTTTCGCCTGACTTGTTTTAATAATATATATGATACTCCCTTGACTACCGTGAGAAAAGGGAAGCATGATATGATAAATAAGTGAAAACACAAGCGCACAGCACACCTTTTTAATTATACAGATGATGTTGTCAGCAAATTCCAGTGTATTGTCTTGGCTATTCAACTGGCTTGGCTTGTGTGAATGATGTTGGTTTTCATTTGACGCTGCAGCTCAGTGTTTGACGTCACAAAAGGGAGGTCACATTATGGTCCTGGAGGAGGTTATCATCACTTTGCTGGGAGGTTGCAGTCTTAGATTTCTAGTGCCTGTTTTGATTTCATTGCTATGAATTACATGTATGCTGTAGCTTGGTGTTATAAAGTATGGAGTATAAACTATACGAGGTACTCCTGCTGTCCCTAAATATCTATCGTTTTCGCTTCTCGAGAAACAACTTTGACTAAATATACATTGAAAAATATTAATATTTATGGTACATAATTAGTATCATTGGAAAGATCTTTGAATCTAGTTTTTTGATAAATTTATTTGGAGATACAAATGTTGCACGCATTTTCTATAAATCAAGTTAAACTTACGCACGCACACCGACGACGACAGTTATTTAGGGACGGAGGGAGTAGTTCTTATATTTTCACAAACATCAAAACTTACATATCCTTTTTGTTTTGTTGCTTCACATACTGATGTTAAAACAGCGTTCTTTTGACAGGGATGCATCACGGGCATTTGTTTCTGGAAATTTTACAGGTAAGTCTGCGTCTTATTGCTAGCTGGTTAGTTTAGTAAATCATATAGATGACCATGAGTTGATGTTGGTTCTATAGAGATAATTTTGGTGTCCTCTTGATCCTTTGAACTGCAAAAGCAAAAGCATTCTTCTGCGTGATCTTTTTACTCCTAGCAGTACATTGATTCTAAATTCAAATTTCATAAGGGACGAAAGATGGAACGATCAAGACATCTAATGAACATGCTGACTCAATATCTTAGAAGCAGTTACTACTGACTCTTCGCACTATGAGATGCGGACGTTGCCTGTTGGTTTAATGTAGAAAGAAAAAAAAAGGCTTGGAATGGTTAAAAAAATGCAGATATTATGACTTGACCTTTATATGATGAAGAGGATACTTGAATTATATGACTTAAATTTTTATGGAGGATGAAGAATCTTAACTCCCTCCTTACCAAACTTCCTGGAAGCTAATTTAGCTGTTCTGCTTCTCATGAACAACAACAACAACAGCCTTTTAAGTCCCAAACAAGTTGGGGTAGGCTAGAGTTGAAACCCAGCAGAAGCAATCAAGGTTCAGCACGTGAATAACTGTTTTCTAAGCACTCCTATCTAAGGCTAACTCTTTGGGTATATTCCATCCTTTCAAGTCTCCTTTTATTGCCTCTACCCAAGTCAACTTCGGTCTTCCTTTGTCTCTCTTCACGTTACTATCCTGGCTTAGGATTCCACTACGCACCGGTGCCTCTGGAGGTCTCCGTTGGACATGTCCAAACCATCTCAACCGGTGTTGGACAAGCTTTTCTTCAATTGGTGCTACCCCTAATCTATCACGTATATCATCGTTCCAAACTCGATCCCTTCTTGTATGACCGCAGATCCAACGCAACATACACATTTCCGCGACACTTATCTGTTGAACATGTCGTCTTTTCGTAGGCCAACATTCTGCACCATACAACATAGCAGGTCTAATCGCCGTCCTATAAAACTTACCTTTTAACTTCTGTGGTACCCTTTTGTCACATAGGACACCAGATGCTTGGCGTCATTTCATCCACCCTACTTTGATTCTATGACTAACATCCTCATCAATATCTCCGTCTCTCTGTAGCATTGATCCTAAATATCGAAATGTATCCTTCCTAGGCACTACTTGACCTTCCAAACTAATATCTTCCTCCTCTCGAGTAGTAGTGCCGAAATCATATCTCATATACTCAGTTTTAGTTCTACTAAGTCTAAAACCTTTGGACTCCAAAGTCTCCCGCCATAACTCCAGTTTCTGATTCATTCATGTCCGACTTTCATTAACTAGCACTACATCGTCCGCGAAAAGCATACACCAAGGGATGTCCCCTTGTATGTCCCTTGTGACCTCATCCATCACTAAGACAAACAGATAAGGGCTCAAAGCTGACCCTTGATGTAGTCCTATCCTAATCGGGAAGTCATCCGTGTCTCCATCACTTGTTCGAACACTAGTCACAACATTGTTGTACATATCTTTAATGTTATGTTTCTCATGAAGTTGTTTATAAAAAAATAATAATTTGACCATAAGAAAAGATAATGTTCATTAAGCATGAATGATCTATGACTGCTTAAGTATATCCTTTTTCTAGAATAACCTTTCTGTTTCAACAGGTGATGGTCTGACTGATTCCTTACAGGGTTTATCAAGCAGTGAGGTACTAAAACACACTATGTATAGATTATTCATATTATTAAACCTTGTAGTTATTGCAAATATGAAGCTTAGACGCAGACAGCCAGTGAAAAATGTTAAAAGTACCGTGATTCATAAATTATGGCTAGGATGGCAGTTAGCTTCAACTGTAATATAGAAGTGTTTCGTTTCCTCTTAGCACTTATGCAAAATCTAGTTGGCTGTTTACTTGCTTATGATACCAAGCTACCAACCTTTCTATTACTAAAGGTAAAGAGTTAGAGCCCGTTCGGCTGGCTGGATGCCAGCGGGCTGGCTGGTTTCCTGAGTCACGAAATCACTGTTCACATCCTGCCAGAACAGTATTTTTCTCTCACAACAATCAGCCGGAACAGTATTTTTCAGTCCTGCCGAACAGGCCCTTAGTTCTGATTTAAGCTTTGTTCTCTTGTGCTTGTAGCCTGTATGGATATAGGCGTGGACATGCTAGGAAATAATTAAGTTGAAACAGAAACATCGTTGCTTCATGTATCATGTATGTATATTCTATTAAATACTTGTGGGAAGCAGCTACTTATCACGCTGAACATAACACTGTATGTGCATGCTAGTGTAGGATACAAGCATTTACAGACTTTACTTTTCTCTCTTTATTTTGCCAATATTTTCAGTATGATGGATTTCCAATTTTCTTTCAGGTAAACAGCATTGTTGATTGGAGGAAATTTTACTTCGAAAGATATATGTGAGCTCCTTTCTAAGAGCCATCTTCATGCTCTTCATGTTACTTATTTCCTTCCATATCTGTAAACCATGAGGCTTCATAGAACTGTATGGTATGCAGTTTTCAAGAAATGCTAGGTGCTAGGCTGGCAGATTGGTGGCACCTAGTCCCTAGGCAGGCTAGTGGAGCACGATTTGGAACACTGTTTATGGGAGTGTTCGGCTGGTCTTATCAGCCAGCTTATTCGCTGGCTTATAAACCATGGTACAATATTTTTCTCTCTAAAAAATCAGCCATACAAATTAGCACCAGCGGCTTTACAGCCAGCTGAACAAGCCTATATATGTGTGCGCTATTGCACTTGCTCTAGATTCTGTTGATCATGTTCTCAAATCCATCACCACCATAACATGCATTATTCATGTTAGTACCAAATGTGTAAACACACTAAACTATCATGATTTGGAACACTGTTTATGTGTTTGCGCTATTGCACTTGCTCTAGATTCTCTTGATCATGTTCTCAAATCCATCACCACCATACCATGTGTTATTCATGTTAGTACCAAATGTGTATGCCATATGCAACACACTGGATTCAAGAATCGGGGGTCAGAGAAGCCTTGAAAGGATGAAAGGGGGCAAAGCGATGGGCCCTGATGGTATCCCAATCAAGGTGTGGAAATGTCTCGGGGATATAGCTATAGTATAGCTAACTAAGATATTCAACAATATCTTTCGATCGAATAAGATGCCTGAGGAGTGGAGAAGAAGCATATTGGTACCAATCTACAAGAACAAGGGAGATATCCAAAGTTGTACTAATTATCGGGGAATTAAGTTGATGAGCCACACTATGAAGTTATGGGAGAGAGTCATCGAGCAGCGCCTGCGAGGAACGACGCAGATATCAACAAACCAATTTGGTTTCATGCCCAGAAGGTCAACCACAGAAGCAATCTTTTTAATAAGACATGTTATGGAGCAGTTTAGAGAGCAGAAGAAGGACCTCCACTTGGTTTTCATTGAGTTGGAGAAGGCTTATGACAAGATACCAATAAATGTTATGTGGTGGTCTTTGGACAAACATAAAGTCCCATCAAAGTACATGACCCTTATCAAGGACATGTACAACAATGTTGTGACTAGTGTTCGAACAAACGATGGTAACACATATTACTTCCCGATTAAAATTGGACTTCATCAAGGGTCAGCCTTAAGCGAGTATCTCTTTGCCTTGGTAATGGATGAGGTTACCAGGAACATATAAGGGGATATCCCTTGGTGTATGTTGTTCGCTGATGATGTAGTGTTAGTGGACGAAAGTCAGGCGGGAGTAAATAGGAAACTAGAGTTATGGTGGCAGACCCTTAAGTCTAAAGGTTTTATATTGAGCAGAACTAAAACCGAATACATGAGATGCGACTTTGACAGAGTTGTATAGGAGGAGGGAGATGTGAGTTTGGAATGTCAAGTAGTGTCTAAGAAGGATACCTTTCGGTATGTGGGATCGATGCTACAGAAGGATGGAGATATTGATGCAGACGTTAGCCATAGAATCAAAGCAGGGTGGATCAAGTGGCGACAAGCTTCTGACGTTCTCTGTGACAAGAGGGTACCACAAAAGCTAAAAGGCAAGTTCTATAGAACGGCGATTAGACCGCCTATGTTCTATGGAGCAGAATGTTGGCCTACAAAGATTCGACATGTTCAACAACTGAGTGTTGCAGAAATGCGTATGTTGCTATGGATTTACGGTCACACAAGAATGGACCGAGTTCGGAACGATGATATACGTGATCGCCTAGATTTAGCACCAATTGAAGAAAAGCTTGTCAATATCGGTTGAGGTGGTTTGACCATATCCAAAGGAGACCTCCAGAGGCACCAGTGCATTGTGGAGTCCTAAGCCAAACTAATAATATGATGAGAGGTAGAGGAAGACCGAAATTGACATGGAGAGAGGCAATAAAAAGAAATTTGAAAGCTTGGGATATACCTAGAGATCTATGTTTGAATAGGAGTACTTGGAAAGCAGCTATTGAAATGCCTGAACCGTGACTTTGGGCTCTTGGTGGGTTTCAACTCTAGTCTACCCTAACTTGCTTGGGACTGAAAGGCTATGTTGTTGTATATGCAACATACTAAGCTATCACTAAAGTAGTGGATCATGTTAGAGAAACTACTCAATTAATAATATATATACCCTTGTAACATTCCTTTACATGTACGATGCAGATTTGCTGGTAAACTTATTGGACGTTACTACGACAGTCAAGGAAATCCTACAAAATATCTGAAGGGTGTAGAAATGAAGGCAAAGAGAGGTGCACAGCTTCTTGAAAAGCAGAAGAGCGATGAAGCTAAAATACCTGGCTGCAATTCAAAATGGAGCCAGCAAGAAGGCGGAGAAGTAAGTGTCCTTGTACCATCCTTTTTTTTGTTGACACATGGTTTTATCTGATGTTGTTGATAACCTTTTTTATTTATCTTGAAAGACCTTAGTGAACTGAGCTTCTTCCTATCATATTCCATATTCAAACAAACTAACCAAATGAAAATAGTCACTATACCAAAGTTAGACATTAAAATTGCATCTTCAACCCTATCTCCTGATGTAAATTAGGTTCTGAGGGCTGTAGTACAAGGTGCAAAGCAGCTCCTTAGAGTTAGTCTTTGCCTCTTTGGGATTATCTAGTTTAGGTCTGGTCTTTTTTTTTTTTTTACTTTTGAGTGAATGGCGTGCATGTTACTGAACTGTTAGGGGTTGGAGTTGGTGTTGTACTTGTTCCTTTTCTTCTTTAATGAAATGATACACTGCTCTTCTGCGTATTTGAAAAACAAAATTAGACCTTGATCACATCATGAAATGAGCACACCTGGTAGTCTTCTAAAAGTTTTGATTCTGCATTGAAACATATTGCCCGTTGGTAGGGCAGCAGTGCGCCATGTTGGATGCTTTGGATGTATCATGCCTCTAGTGGGCTATGGTCTTCCCAGGCACCAATTTTCCGGTTTGTTTTTTATGGCTCCAGACGGTGGCCAATTAAGGATTTTGCCCCCAATTCCATAATTGAACTCTATAAAATGACTGTTTTCCAATAAAGATGGCAACAGATGAGTTGTGTAATAATGCAATCGCAATAAACATAAGAAACAGCTGGCATTAATGAGAAGCATCATGAGTTGGTGTAACATGTTGAGTTATTCTGGATTTCTATTGACCAAATAAACTCCAGCAATTTGATGGCTAATATTGTCTGATCCTTTTCCTTTAGTTTTCTCAACCTATCTCATGCTCTGTTGGGGATTTCTCACGAATCTTCAGGAAATTAATCTGTTTTGTGTGAATTTCCCTTTGTTCCAAACAGCTTACATAGTCCAAATCGTGTTTTCATATCACACATCTCCTTGAGAAACATTTGCTTGATTAATGTTGAGTTGAACTAATGTGCCATTTTAGTGGCTCGAGGATTCTGAGTGAACAAAGTTGTTTCAGTTTCCATTTTGCTAAAGATGTCTTTTTTCTGCCTAATTAAGATCGTACTGCTTGTGTTAGGTTTGGTGCGACACGGGCTATCCAAGATTGGTGAGGAGGCCAGGCGACATAGCTCTGACCGGACAAGTTAGCCAAAGGTGCGCTTGTTTCCAGGAAAACGAGCTCGACAAAGCCGGGCTAGTGGTGTACGAAGGGTGTGATTACTTGTCCAAGTCTTGCAAAGTAAACTAGAACTGTACATCTCCCTCCCCTTCGTCCACGAACTTGTTGCTTTGGGTAGTCAGCGCAAGGTTCATTAGTAGTGACATTCCACGAGCACCAGCCACGCACCATGATGGTTCTTCTGTTCTGTTCCGCATCAGTCCTTTCGGAATCCCTGGTGCAACGTCGTGTTTCAGAAGCCAAGCGCGTGTTTAGTTGGTACCCTAAAATCAAAAAAAAAAAGTGCTACAGTATCCATCACATCGAATCTTATGATATGTGCATGGAGCATTAAATATAGACGAAAAAAAACTAATTGCACAGTTTGGTTGGAAATTGCGAGACGAACATTTTGAGCCTAATTAGTCCATGATTGAACACTATTTGTCAAATAAAAACGAACGTGCTATAGTAGCCCAAATTCCCAAATTTAGAGAACTAAACACGCTGCAAGATACGCAACTGAGCTGTTTAGTGTCTCATCATAAAGTTTACTCACTATCCCATCGAATGTTTGACACATGCATGGAGTATTAAATATAGATTAAAAAATAACTAATTGCATAGTTTGCGACTAATTTGTGAGACGAATCTTTTAAGTCTAATTAGTCCATGATTTGATAATGTGGTGCAACAGTAACACATGTGTTAATAACGAATTAATTAGGTTTAATAAATTCGTCTTATAGATTATTGACGGATTCTATAATTTATTTTTCTATTAGTATCTAAATACTTCATACGATATCATATATAACACCCAATAACTTTACGACTGATCGCCTGATCGGAAACATGTCCTGATCGGAAGATACGTGCAATCGAATCAAATGAAGGTCACGCTGCGCTGCCACGCATTATTCGTGCAGGGCAAGATCGATCGCAAAGGCTGTCCATGTTAATAGGCATGGGGCTTTGGCTGTCGATTGATCGAGGCTGCCTTGCAAGTTGTTGCACCGTCGGCATCATCTTTCCTAGGATCCCAAACACATTTTCTCTGTTGCAAATACATGCCCTTGAATTGAAGATGGTATTTTCAATCTGTTCCCTATTTCTGTTGAACTTATTGATCATATAAGGCCTTGTTTAGTTCTTGGCTATAAAATTTTGGGGTGTCACATAGATGTGTTGCATGGGGTATTCGGATACTAATAAAAAATAAACCGCGAGATGAATTTATTAAGTCTAATTAATCTGTCATTAGCACACGTGTTACTATAGCATTTTATTGTCAAATCATGGACTAATTAGGTTTAAAAGATTCGTCTCACAAAGTAGTCGCAATATGTGCAATTAGTTATTTTTGTAGTCTATATTTAATACTCTATGTATGTGTTTAAACATTTAATGAGATAAAATATAAACTTTTAGGGAGGAACTAAAAAGACCTAGCTACTACTTGGCAGACTTCAAAGCACATCATATAGAAAACGTCAAAATTTGTAGACAAATTCAGATCAAATACACCAAGGCCTTGTTTAGTTCTGGGGATGTAAAAGTTTTGGGTGTCACATCAGTTATTATATGGAGGATATCGCGTGGGGTGTTCGGATACTAATAAAAAATACAAATTACAGAATCCGTTCGTAAACCGCTAGACGAATTTACTAAACCTAATTAATCCATTATTAGCACATGTGTTACTGTAGCACTTTATTATCAAATCATAGACTAATTAGGCTTAAAAGATTCATCTCGTAAATTAGTCGCAATTTGTACAATTATTTATTTTTTTAATCTATATTTAATACTTTATATATGTGTTAAATATTCGATGTGATAAAATATAAAGTTTTAGGGTGGAAACAAGACGAAGACGAGGAAAGCCAGCCGAAGCCTGTCGGCCTGCTCGTTCCGCCGTTCCGCGGCTACCTGACATTTCTTGCTTCTGCAGTTTGTTACTGACCGTTCTGCACTGCAGAAACGCAGAACGGTGAAGCAACAGTTCGATTCGTTTTGTGTCTTTGTCCCTGTCTTAAAAGTACTAAGGCCATTTTTATTTCCTCTCTCTCAAAACTCATCGAATATTTGACACATATATAAAGTATTTAATATAGACTAAAAATAACTAATTATACAGATTGTGACTACTTTACGAAATAAATCTTTTAAATCTAATTAGTTTATGATTTGACAATAAAGTACTACATTCACACATATACTAATGACGGATTAATTAGACTTAATAAATTTGTCTTGCGGTTTAATAACGGATTTTGTAATTTATTTTTTTTATTATTATCCAAAAACCCCATGTGACACCCCTGTAAGATTCGATGTGACAACCTAAAACTTTACCCTCTGAATCTAAACACCATCTAATAAGGTTTCTTTTTCAGTTTATGGCCCTGTTCGCTTCTCTTATAATCCGTCTTTTTCAACTTGTTTTTTCAGCCGGAATAGTATTTTTCTCTCACAACAAATCAGCTCGAACAGTATTTCAGCTTATTTTTTTAGCGAAGCGAATGAGAGGCCATATTTCTCCTCTTCGCTAGTGTAGTGTACTCCTAGTCATAGGTTCACGCTTGACAGGCCCCATAGGCCACTGGAGCACTTCTCTCGTCATTGCAGGTGAGCCGTTGACACGTGTGCCGTTAAAAAAAAGATGTTCCAGATCTATTAAAAAGTTTGAACACACTCTGCTATCATAACGCTAATTTTTTTTTTGTGTCTTCCACGCGCATTCCGCCCTTATTCTGTTCGGTTTTGACGGTTTAAGAGCCCTGACGTGTGAGTCAAAATACCCCCTCCTTAACCCTATCCTCTCCACGTGCTGCGAGCGCTGCGGGACGCCGCGCGGAGGCTGGGGAGGTACGCGGGCCGACGCTGCAGGCGCTCTTCGAGCTCAAGGCCGGCGCCGACGACCTCCTCAGTCGACACAGGAGGCGGCGCAGGGCAACGACCTCCTCCGCTCTCGTGTGCGGCGCGCGGAGCAACAGCCGTGGCCGCTGGGCTGAGCTCTGCGCCGCCGTCATCCCCCACCCCACCGGCTGTCCTCGCGCCCCCAACCGCCGTCCTTCGAACTGCGCCCACGCCGGACCGAGCTCTGCACCACCTCCGGTTCTGGGTCTGCTGATCCACCGCACGACCAAGCCCGAACGGCGGCGGGCGGACGTGCGGGTACTCCGGGAAACGGCGGGTGTCGGATGGGTCGAGGATCGGGAACGACTGGCGGCGGCGCGCACGGGCCGCGGCGTCGTTGGCTCACAGCCATCCGTCGATGACCCTGCACTCGTCCCGCAGCCGGCTCTGCATCTCCCGCGCCGCCTTGCTCCTGGACAGCGCCGGCGACGGGGCCTAATGGCCGGCTGGAGCCCTTCGTGCTCCCTCGACTTGTGCTCCGGCTCCGACTCCCTATCCCTGCGCGCGCGGTGCCGCCGGCGTTCGGCCTCCGACGAAACGGCTGGACACCTGACTAAGACTAGAACACGTTTAGAGAGGGTCCAGAGCCACATGAGCGAAGGCCAAAGGTACAATAGAAGAAGAGAGCCCATCAGCACATCATAGGAATCACCTTGTTCTCGATTCCCAATCCAGCGACCTTGTCTGTTCGTCACCACGACGTGCATCAGGCCACCGCCGCGTGGCCCTTAGCGCGCGGCTGCCGCGGCCTAGGCCAAGCAGTAGCTCACCCCTTGCTGTCGCTGCCTGTCGTCGCCCCTTGCTGCCTGTGCTGCTGCCGCGCGCTAGGCCTAGCTGCAGCTCGCCCCTTGCTACGGCTGCCGCGGTGCCGCTGCCTGCCGGCGCCCCTTGCTGCCAGTGCCGCTGCCCCTTGCCGCGACAGCCTTCAAGGTTGCAGGTTGCCGCTCGCCCATGCCTATCTCTCTCAGCGGCTCAGTGCTGCAGTGCAGGGGAAGGGCAGCAGCCCAGCAGGTTACGGAGGACGGGGTGAGTATGATTATATGCTAACTGCTTTGTTATTCAAATTTACAAGTTTTGTAGCTCTTAGATAACTGGATTTGTCATACAATATTAGATATTCATGTGTGTTCGGCCTCCGAGTCCGTGCCGGCGCATTGGACACCTCGCAAGGATTTTCAAATTTGTGGTATTCAAAACTTAAAAATATTGCAAATAATTTAAATACTAATTAAATTAGTGCTGTAAAAAATGGTTAACAACAATTAGTTTGTGCCAAAACACTCAGCTAGGGAGCGGTACACGGGAAAACAAAACTTCATCTCTTTTCTAGCCTGAGGGTATTTAAGTCTTTTCACAGTGCCGTGAGCCACCGTTATCCGCGGAAGTGAACAGAATGACGTAAAAGGTAAGAAAGTTTAACGTCATGCTATCAGGATGCGTTCGAACTTTTCAGTGAATATTTAGGTCTGGAGCATTTTTCGTAACGGCATGTAGGTAGAAGGCTCATTGCAGGCGGTGGTAGTGCTGTGCCCAGCGTTTGCCTTGTACGTTTGCATCGCTGCCCCTGCGCACTGCGCTGCGCTGGAACCAGTGCACCGGCCGGCCTTTTTTCTCCAGGCAAAGGTTGCATGATGCGTCACGCCACGAGCAGGCACAGGCGCACAGTATCAGAGCATGGCCGGGCAGTGCAGGTGCGCAGCCAGTGCGTGCTTGTCCGGCGCCACGCCACGTCCACGCGCATCGCATTCGCACTGCGTTCTGCGTTCCCCATGGCATGATGGGCAGTAGCAGTACATGGCGTTGGCTCACGCTGTCACGCACACTCAACCCTAGTTTAGTTCCTCCGTCAAAATTTTACATCCTATCACGTCAAATGTTTGATATATGTATAGAGTATTAAATATAGATTAAAAAATAACTAATTACACAGATTGCGACTACTTTACGAGACGAATCTTTTAAGCCTAATTAGTTCATGATTTGATAATAAAGTGCTACAGTAATACATGCTCTACTGATAGATTAATTATGCCTAATAAATTTATCTCGTGGTTTACTGACGAATTCTATAATTTATTTTTTTATTAATATCAAACATCTCATACGACACCCTATATAATATTCAATGTGACGTCTCTAAACTTTACGCTCTGTATGTAAACACCAACCTAACGGCAGGTCTCTCTCTACAGCTGCTGCGTGCGATCATTTCAGCACGTCCTCTTTCCTCCCCTGCTGATCAGTGATCACGCGCATGAGACCCAGATCCACTGTCCAAGACTCCAAGTCATGATGCCGCCGTGGTTTTTGGGCGTCGAAAAATCTGAAGCTGCTAGCGGTAGCGGTTTTTTGCTCGGAGGATCTGTCGAAGAACGATATGGTAGCAAACGAACAGCATCAGCAGTAACAGTACTGCAGAGAAGTGACGTGAAAACTCCGTCCGTACACACGCGCTCTGATGCTGAGGTCTCCGCTGGGAGAGACAAATGGGCTCTCTCTCTCTCTCTCTCTGACACCGGGGTACTACGATTCTCCCGTGCAAGAAAACGCAACGCAACGCAACGCATGCAGGTCTCTCGGATGGTCGTTGCGCCAGCCAAACTTTCAATGCGCACTTAAACATACGGCGAGACGCGGGGCAGGGGCAGGGGCAGGGGCAGGGGCAGCACGCAGCAGCGCATGAGGCATGGGATTCGGAGGATCCGCTCCTGGCCGTGGACGTGGAAGAAAGGCCCCGTTTGGGCTCTGATTCTCCAGCTCAGCTGCTTGATTCTTCTGGAGCGATTTCATTGGATTCTTAGGACGGAGCAGGGTGGGAGCTGATCAGAACTGATTATCTGCTGATCTCCATCAAAATATACTAGGGAGTAGGGTGAAGCAGTTTTTTTTTAGCTCCTAGATCATAGTGTAAATAGAGAAGTGATTCTCTGCTGATACCCACCTCAATCAGTTGGCATTTTAAGCGTTTGACTAGTTGGGAGTAATTCTCTTCGGAGAAGCTGAAGCTGGATCTCTCCTAAACAGCCCCAAAAGTAAGCACGTAGGCTCTGCTTGCGTTGAGCTGTTTGGTTGAGGGCCACCGGCCGCCACGCCACAAATTGTGGCTCGCCACGGGAACCGGAACAACTTGTTTGGTTGATAACTTAAATGAGGGTGGCGGCTAAAAACCCCGCCACCGTCACAAATCGCCACACTTTGGCGTGGCCATGTGTGGCCGAGATCCAAACAACCTATGCCACAACGTTCCTCATTCGTCCTCTGTATTTCTAATCAGAAATTCTAAAAGGCGACCGTCGGCCGTCGCGCCAAACGTGGACGGCGTGACGTGGCTGGCCCACCCTCCCCTTGAGCGCATCGTCTCCCCCTCCCTCTTGCGTTTTTCCTCCCACTCGCGCCCCCTCCGACGAGCTCCTCCCTCCCTCCCCTCCGGCAGAGGCAGCGCCGGCGAGGTAGGCCGCCTCCTCCTCCTGGATCTGTGACCACTGGAGACGAAGGCGACAGCGGCGGTGGTTAGGGTTCAACGAGCCTCTCCCCTTCTTTCTTCTCCAACTCACTACTACAGAATTGATTTTCCGTGGCGTTGCACTTTAATTAACGGAGGCGGTCATAAATCCAACCGCCTCGGAAAATACAGGACGATTAACAGAGGCGGGGATTTTGATTTACGGAGGCGGTCACTTTTGTCCGCCTCGTAAAATTGATTTACGGTGGCGGTCAAAATACAACCGCCTCCTAAAATCGATTTACGGAGTTGCCTGCCTCTAAAAAAAGTGCCCCAGCTCGCAGCCCAGAAAAAGCCCATCTTTGCCTTTCTACTGGGCTCATATATAAGCAGCACTTGATAACTCTAGCCTGACATCGCCCCCTCCAATCCCGACCTGATCGAGCGCGGCGCCCCTCCCCTCCCGAGTCTCGACACGAGTACGACGCCCCTCCCCTCCCCTCTCGACACAGCGCGACACCTTTCTCCCTCACGATGCCTCGGCCTCCCTCTCCTGTCCCTCACAGGGCAGCGCCCCTCCCTCTCTCTCTCTCTCTCTCTCTCTCCTCCCTCCGACGACGTGGTGGCTCGATC